GGTATGGACATCTGGTTCGGATGCCTCCGGGGAGGCTTCCTCTGGAGGTTTTCCGAACTCGTCCACCTGGGAGGAGACCCCGGGGCAGACCCAGGACCCGCTGGAGAGATTATATCTCTCGGCTGGCCTGGGAACGCCTCGGGATCCCCCAGGCAGAGCTGGAAAGCTTCTCCGGGGGGAGGGAGGTCTGGGACGACCTGCTCCGCCTACTGCCCCCGCGACCCAACCCCAGATAAGCGGAAGAGAATGGATGGATGGATGGAGTTACTAACTCCGGCCAGCAGAGGGCACGTTCACTACACTGTGTGTTCAGGGTCAAAGGGAAGTCTCGTAGAAATATATCCAAAGAATGAGAACACACACTTAGTAGAAAGTTAATGTATGTGTGTGGGGAACTGTGAGGTTAAAAGACACTTTTTGTGCTCTTTGCAGGTAAGCAGGGAGAGTTGAAACTGTGTAATCGTTGTTGTATCTGTTAGTTTATTAACCCGGTTGGAGTTCTGCGGTATTGTTTATGAGAGTCAGCCAACATAATGTAACGAAAATGGCTAACTACTGGTTAGCACTGGTGGCTAGCTACCGCGAGCACGGGACTAGGAAGTAAATGATGAGCCCGCACCGCTCAGGAGTAATTCATGAATGTAAACTAAACTGATTTGGAGTACTGATGCAAGACATGATTTACTGTTGATATGTTGGTGCAGACATTCATAATTTTTTATGTTAAAATGTAGAAATATATCCAGAGAATGAGAACACACACTTAGTAGAAAGTTAATGTATGTGTGTGGCGAACTGTGAGGTTAAAAGACACTTTTTGTGCTCTTTGCAGAACTCAATAAAAGGACTTTAAAAATTAAATGTGTAGTGGAGGACAGCTTCACTCTGTACCCTGCTACATGTACACACCTGATAACACCTGATAGTATAGATACCTTATAGTATGGACACCTGTACAGACACCTGCCGTTACAGACTCCTGACGTTACAGACTCCTGACGTTACAGACTCCTGACGCTACAGACTCCTGACGCTACAGACTCCTGACGCTACAGACTCCTGACGCTACAGACACCTGACGTTACAGACACCTGACGTTACAGACTCCTGACGTTACAGACTAGTGACGTTACAGATTCCTGACGTT